GATCCCCACTGCTGAAGAGACCAAACATGGTCGAAATAGCTGTACGAGCTTTTCAGTTCACGTTTCATCTGCTCTATATGCACGACGAATTTTTATTTGTAATAATACCTATTTCTTGATATGTTCATGCTCAGTCAACTGATTTGCGCTCTCACTCGACATTCTGAAGCACATTGAAAAGCTCTCCAACATAATTAAACTACGCCTCTACACAGCCAGCTACATACGATTACGCATTTCTGTTGGTTATTTCGCGGAAGACCATGGAATCGCACTTGGAAATCTGTGATAGAAAAGTCACTCCGTGTTTGGCGAAAATGACTTCAAACCGAAATTTACAAATTGAAGATTTTCCTCTAAACAAAGATTCAAGCATATCATTGCTTTGAGTTTTGATTATTTTTTGTAAATGAGGTCATACTGTGTGTTATTAGTAGGTCCACTTTGTTTCATGGACGAGTGATACAAGGATGCGGCATACCTAAGCGGTTTCGTTTTGAAGGTTTGGCGACCCCATTTTTGTCTAGACCGAGCTGGTACATCTCCAAAATATTGCCAATCATTTTATCTGAAAGGGCTATTGGTAATGTACTGAAGAAAAACCATGTGAATTCCCCTAATGCGCCAATTTTTATCCTCGCAAAAGTTACCAACGTCATGCAGATACAGTGATTATATAGAACTTAAAAATCCTCCCCTGAAACACAGCTTAGGATGGTTCAAATTTTGTGATTAAACGCTTCTCAATGTTTTGATTCGAACTGACCATTCTTCAGATTTCCCCTTCACGCACAATTCTCAGGTGTTCCAGTCATCTGGACACTCGGAAGCAGCAGACTCGAGTTTCGCCCTTATTAGAGCTCACCAGTAGTACATATCCGCCGTCCCGTCCGGAATGTGAACTTTTGATGGTCAGTTCTATCCTAATAACATCACTTATTCCACACCATTATCAATCAACTATCAATCTAGCTCAGTAGGTTTGTGGCTAGTTCACTCGCAACCTGCATGGAAGTCCTGACTTGGTGGGAGGCTTTCGTTCAGAGTTAACAGATAGTCAGCTGCGTCTGCCTTGGTTGCCGTCGGGCCCAATTGAACTCGCTTGCTATCTCTGAAGACGACGTCTGATGAAACAGGAATCGGCGATTTACTTCAGTCCTGACATGAATTGGTTGGTGCAGTGGTAACATGCCTTCTATGCAATGGGTCCGGAGGTCAAAGCCCGGATAGTGGGACGCTGAATTTGCAGTGCTGATGAACTCTAATAAGAGAGAGACACCCGAGTCTGGGGCTGCCGACTACATGGTTGGCTGGATGAAATGAGGATTGTGGGTGAAGGTCAAGTCCAAAGAATAGTCAGTTCAAATCAATATCAAGTATCCCACACTACTACTCACAAGTAGCTGTGAGCTAAATGCGAATTCTCTCTCTGTCAAACCATTCAAAGATGTTTGGTATTGTTATAAATTAGTTTGATCTTGGATTTCGAATGATATAACTAAGGAAATGAGATCATTTCTGATCGCGTAATTGAATGATAAATCAAAAAATTTTAATTCCCATAAAGTTTCACATGAAGAATATACTAAGCTGTCAATCACCAACCGTTTTATGATTCAAACTGAAATGATGATGGCAAAAAAGAATCGATCAGTACGTTGGCTAGCATCGGTTTTCAATATTTCAGGAGTTTTAAATCCTGACCGTGACAACTGTTTGTGTGCAATGCATGATTCGAAAAAGTGATTCACTTAACAGAAGTGCATTGCTGACGCAGGCTTAGAGATTGAGCCATGTTTTTTATGACATTATTTTATGATGAACAGCAAACGAGGTGGACCGTCTCGTCGCGGCTACACAAACCAACTGAGGACCATATTATACGTCATCATCTACTAGGATCGTTGTCATTTTTTTCAATCAACGATTCCATTGCGTGAATATCTTCAAGGGACGAGAGAAGTATGAACTCGTGGGTAATTCCCACAATAGCACTTTTACTTCTCACTTAAACCCACTGTTCAGTGTTCAGGAAACCGGTAACCTAAACGTTGAGACTCGGCTTGGTGATTCACATAGGCCTCTGCTATGTTAGGCGTGGTATTTGAGTGAAGTTGCCTACCCCCAGCATCCCTTTTTGTCACAGATTTGTGATGCTTGGGCTCACGTGTGCAACAGTGAACGGATGCACGAGAAAAACCGACTATAAAGCCGAGTCTCTGTGTGGACGGTCTGCGGTCAATCGATGGTCAACAGGTTCTCTCCCCAGGAGTAGATGAATTCAAAGTACGTCAGAAAAGAAAAAGCCATGTATCCATCCTCGGTCATACATAGAAGGTGCAATGAAGCACGAACACAACTGGCGTTCAAAGCGAATGACAATTTGTCGAGTGCACTGTGCTGGACAGTAAAACAACAACCAATGGCGCTTTAATTTGCATCTCGTGTTGACAACAACAGTAACAAAAATCTTTATCGTCAAATCAAAGAAGACAGGACCACAGGACCATAAACTGAACCAAGTAAATGTGAAACGTACCTGGGAACTTGTGGAGGGGTGCTGAAATACGGAAGGGCGTTAGCAGATTTTGTACTCTTATGTATTACAATTAATTTGGCCCCAAAAGTGGTAATACCTTCTAAGGGAATATTTTGGCCCGTTGCCAAAAGTAGAGTGAACAGGGAAGCCGAGTCTCAGGTTCAGACCAGCCCTTTTAGTTTGATTCACTAGGATCCAGCGTAGGTCTTTATAAGCGACATAGATATGGTCATTACGGAGGGTTTTTGTTGTTCGCTCAAGTGTGGGAACGCTTACCCCATTCAGAAGAATCAAACTGAACACGGTTTGAGTTTGAATGTTCAATGAAATTATAATATCATTATTTTTCACATTCCTCTAAATGTTGCTTTCATTTGAAGGCACTACCATCAAACATCAGTTTGTTTTCCATTCGTTGCTCATCTGTATGGAGCTACCTATTACCTCTTTCTTAATCTCCCCGTTAGTGGTCCAATCTGAAGGTTTTGACTTTTAACTCCAGTAGCTAACAAACGAGGAGAACATAGTTTAGACGATATATCAGATTGTAGATGTATTTAACGTTGGCACTATTGGTGCAAATGAAACAGTCTGCAATCAGTGCAGGAGAACAAATTCGAATAACCTGTTCAGTTCACATTCATGTCCATGTACCAACGATTGATTGGTTAAGAGCCGGACCAATCACGTGATAAATTAGATACTGAATATAGGCGTGTGTGCGCGTGCACCCGCGTGCATATTGTTCGTACCCACCAAAATGACTTGACTGCGGCTGGCTCCTTGGAAAGGATAATCCGGCTCCAGGCATGGTCATGATCATGATCATGAAGTTCCTTGGGAGTTTGATACGAGAGACGTCTCCAGCGTCACTCGGCGCTTTATATTTTTAGGTCGCACCACTAGACTTTACACAACCAAGTGCAAACTGTAAGGCAGCAAGAAGTAATCCATCATCTCAAAAGTGAGGGAGTCAATGGCTTTAGTTTTAAAAGACCAGTCACATTGACCCTTGTCACAATACCGTCATGGTTCATGTGGCTTCTAAACAGGAACCAGGTGACCAGCCTGACATCCACCACACCCTGTCAGTGCCGCCACTGTTTGTTCGCGACTGCTTATTTGTTGCGCTATGGTACAACTTATTCACAGGTAACCTTCTTCTGTGAAGATAACTCCCTATTCACAACCCGGTGACGTGCCTGGTAGCATTCAGCTCCGCTTAATCCGAGGGTATCCATGGTCATATATACTATAACTATTTAGCTATCTGGTCTTGGGAAGTAAGTTAAGAATAAATCCAACATATAGGAAAACTGCATGTTCATCTAGTCATTTCGGCAAAACCCTATCCTCTACAAATTCAACGATTTTCTTAGGTTACTACCGCTTGGATGTATGTGTTTTAATCGCTTTGACTGTTTGCACTTTTTCATCGTGAAGTTTTATTTGTCCAACAACGGTGATGGAGAGTTTTTTGGGGGTGGGAGGGTAGTCTCCGAATTGGTGGTTCTTGGAGTAAAGCGAGCCTGGTTTAGGGATGTAATGCTTAGGAATGTAATTCAGGTCGCTATGGAGATGCTTTTCTATTGCTACACACACAAACACTGCGGTGGTATTTGTTTTGAGCTTTAAGAGAACCGGTTTGTTTCATTTGTTTCATCCACATCAAATCCTGAATAATCCAAGTTCATCTAGTAAGAATAACATTCTGGCTTGAAGGAAATGTTTTTATCTAGTGTGCCTCTTCCTTAGGTACACTTGTCTTGACAAAGCACATCTTACATTATTCAGTGCATCTTTAATTGGGTTTCAACACGTGTACAATGCCGCTTAACCCATAGAATTGAGGGTGTGGTTTTCTGTGTATTGCTCTGACTCACATTGGGATCGGTTATAGCTATTGTGTGATGTGCACATGGATAGAAGATCGGTAATTTGCGAGCGATAGCTTTTGCTTTGTTTAAATCCATATTTTGGTTACTAAGATTCGATTAATTAACCAAAAGGGGATTCACAACACAAGACGCATTATCTGGACTGATTTCATGACCGCTCTCAACTGAATGAGCTAGGATTTAACTGAGTATCTTATCCATCTTTCTGTGAATGAGATGTTGTTTGGAGGAAATCCTCTAACAGCTCTAGACAAACGCGTTGTCCTGTGACTTATACGTCAAAGATCTCCCGTCTAAAGGCGGCCGATGCATAATGAGCTGTTCCTTTGCTATAACTTATCCTCCCTCAGTGCCAGGATTATCGATGAATTCAATTTAGTCTGACCGCCAAAACTGCATCGCTACTGTGGACTTCCAAGAAATCGGTTACTCTCACATTTGTGTTTCCTGTCTGTACAAGCGTGGGTGAAAATCATTGGAAAGTGTTATCTGCGTTCGACCGTCTGCAACTTACGTTGCTTTACCTTACGGCGGTTGGTTCCTGGGAGGGTTTATCCGGCTTCATGGATATCCCGAACTGCCGTACCCACGCTCGGAGGTGTGTGGCAGGATTGGTGCAGATTGCGATCCATCTTGTGTTCCAATGACTTGCATTGCCGTAGACGGAGCGGAGACCAAAGTTTTCTATATCCTTGCCTACCGCGTCTAGCCAGATTTTCAACTGACCACCGCGTCGACAGTGCCAGTTAGATCAGGGAGGCGATGCCAAGGCAGCCTTGGCTAGGTCTTTATCATACTTAAGACGTATGTGAGCAAAACATTGTAGCCAATGGCGTCGTATTAGGGTACGCAACCGTATAAGATTAAAACACTGGTCTCTGATCGTTCCATTTGAGAGCTGATACCTCCATCGTATTCTCAGAACGATTCTTAAGCATCGACAAGGCTGCCCTTTATCCCCCCTCCTTTTCAACCTCACCATGGAAGATGTTCTACAGGACCCTTTATCCGGTTTAGTAAACGGTGGAGTCGAACTCCTCCCAGCGAACAGAGTTCTTGACTTATAATATACCGATGACATCGCCTTGTTGTGTGACAATGCACAGGCAGTCCAGCAAGCTTTACACCACTTGGCGATAGAGGTATCCAGGCATGGTTTGTGCTTTGCACCATCAAAGTGCAAAGGGCTGGTTCAAGACTGGTAGGAGCCTGTGCCTGCATTCACCCTCTGTGGTGACCAGCTAGAAGTAGTTGAGAACTTAAAGTACCTCGGGAGCTTGATTGCAGCTGGTGGTGGTGCTGGGGATGAGATCACATCACGAATAGCGAAAACTAGAGCAGCTTTCACCAACCTGCGACACCTGTGGCGCCGCCATGACATCCGACCCTCCCTTAAGGGAAGGGTGTATATCGCCGTAGTTCGTAGCGTTCTGCTTTACGGTTGCGAGATCTGGCCTCTCCGAGCGGAGGATGCTAATCGAATTTCTGTATTTGACCATCGATGTCTCCGAAGCATTGCTCGTGTCTGGTGGGAACACCGGGTGAGTAATGACGAGGTTTGTCGTCGTGTGTTGAGTGTGGATAGTCGTTCTCTTACAGAAGTAACCGCTCTACACCGCCTCCGATGGCTTGGTCACGTATTGCGTATGCCTGCCCATCGACTACCAATCCGTGCTCACTTTGCACGTGCCGGGCAAGGCTGGTAAAAGCGTCGACGCGGTCAGACCATGACATGCCGTAGAGGTATGAAGAAGTTAGCCTCAGCATTGGTTTCGTTTGGTGCAGCTCACCTTACAGGCTGGGGCTCAAGGGATGAGGATTGCCGATGGTTAGAGACGCTGAGAGATATGGCTCAGAATAAATGTCAGTGGCGCNCGCGATTGCTGTGTGGTTTGTTTGGCGAAACCATGTTAGCCACAACACAAAAAATTCTCCAATAAGTGTACAATGAAACTATAAAAAAATCGTTCGTTCATTCTTTCGTTCTCCGTGTTCTCTGTTTTCCCCATTTTCATTTAATCTTTCTGTACCCCATCACAAGTTCACTATCGTGGTTTTGCATTGGCACCATGCTTGTTCTCAAATAGGTGTAATATATATATATACATATATATATATATATATATATATATATATGTATATATATATATATATTACGAATCCGGATAGCAAGACAGAAGGGACTGCTGCGGAGAAAACTTGTATTTTCGTCTTCAGGCTGATTTTAGTTTTACACCAAAGGAAATTATTTAGCTAGAAACACGTCTTTCTATCAGCATTGACCAACAGTTATATCTCATCTCCACCTGGGCCGTTTGGGAATACGGTTGAGCCAAATTATTTAAAGCATGCAACGGCTTCCATGCTACCAGTGAGACTGAATAGATTCAAGCTGTTGAATCTTTGTAAGCGTTCAAAATGTTTTGATGCTTCACCAGATTGATAACGATCCTATTTCGAGTATTGTATTAGTACAACTCAAGACAAACCGCATTAAAAGCATTCTTCTCAGCACGATCAGTAGAGCATGTTTTTTATATTTTGGACCAAGCACGGCGGCTCTCTTAACACGTGATCTGTGCTCACCGGAAGCCGATAACAGTGAAAGTAGTTGCAGAGGGCATTTTCCCAATGACTAGCAAAAGTATATTGGTAATGTTCTGTTGGCACTCGTCAGTAGTTCGAGTTGTTTTTAAGTTCCAGTCTGAAACCTGGGCTTGGCATTAGGGAGGCACACGGGTGCTCAGAAGACCCACACGCACACACACACACAAAGGGCCAGGATATGGATACCGAACTAGTACTTGCACTGCTAATGAGTCACGCAATTAGGATGATAAAAATTATTCAGTGTTTTATTTCGCAAGTGTCCACAGCGCTACGACGAATCGATCATTCAAAACAAACACGGAAGGAGAGAATACGCAAATTCACAAAAGGATAGACTTTAAACATGAGGACTGATACACAACCCCCATTTATGTTTCACCTCGCTTGGACAAAGTACGAAAATACCGGATGTCGGTTCGGTTTCTTTTTGTACAGCCATTAACGATGCACTTTATGTGGAGGTTTTGGTTACTGACTTTTGGTGGTTCATTTGGATGAAGAAATAGGAGAAACATTGAAAATTTAAAAATAAAATCGAAGAGAAAATGGAGAATTTCAAAAAACTAAGGTTGCATAGAAATTGAGAAGACGTTTCATTAATAGTTGTAAAAACTGAAAACTTAAACTGTCATGAAAGGCGTTCAGGGTTCGCTTCTGTTTATCGTTTTCTGTTTGGTTGATTTCTGGTCCGCTGTTCGGGAGTGGTCCTTAGTTTTATGCACCCAATGAGATAAGCGAACGTGGACGGGACAGCGCCCTATTCATTGGGTGTTGTCCAGTTTGGGCGGGCGGTAGCTGTCTAATAAAGTGAGAAGACTTCTCCCACCATCGTGAAGAAGCCCCGGCTAATCCGCTTCTACATCTAGCAAGTGAGGTCTTTTATCGCTAGACTACACCTCCTCGTGTTTATTTGCTAGAGTGACCTAGGAGCGGGTGTGGATCGACGAAGAAGCCAGGAGGTGCCCAAGCAGGTGGCCTCGTGAGACTGATCTTCTTCTGATCTCTACCCGTTGACCTTTCGGACATGATTAGATCTGCGGCTGTGAAAAGCCATCCTGTGTAGCTCACAGGGTCATGAAGGAATACAAGCCATCACACGAGGTCGAAGTGCAGTCTCATCGTGATGGTGAATAGCACTCACCATGTGTTTACCATTACCCATGTTCCTGCGAATCGGAGTAAGCACGTAAGACAGCCAAAACATTTTTCGTCGCCATCAAAATGAAGGAATAAATCTTCGAGAAGTATCATTGTAGCTCAGACACTCCGCTCAGGTCACAAAATGACGAGAGTTGAGGGTGCGTTTAAGGGAGGAGGTGTGGAATCCTGTCTATGGTAACAGCAATCGCGATCAGGCTGAGTCGATATGAGCGCGGTGGTCACCACGATGCTTTGTTGAGACCTCACTGTGATCTTAACTCATGGTCCTCATAAGCACGGATCAAATACGACAGTCCGTGATTGGTCCATTCGAGCACAGTACCTAACGTAAATTAGGCATACAGACACACACAAATAAATGTGCTCCGCTATGTTTACATGTCTGATTTTTTGGTAAGGAATAGCACTCAACACAAAGTGAATTTTGGGTAAAAATTGATGAACTTCGGGTGTGCTGGTTCAGATCAAATTGAAGGCACTTCAAAGATGTGACCTTTCATGACTTCAGCGGTGATGTAAAGTGGATACTGCAAACGTATTAGTCACCTAAATGTCTGACCTAAAATCATTGGACATGATATCCTTAAAACGGAAATTAAAACAAGTAAAGTTTTAAAAGTGGGGATGTCGTGCGCCTGATATTCAATAAAATAACGAGGCTCGTTCTATGATGAGCGCTTTTTGTTCATGTTGATGTGGTGAGCTATTCAAAGAGTTAACACAATTTCCCTAGTAGAAAATCCCACATTCAAAGTTTATCTATTTTATATTTTATATATATATATATTTTATATATTTTATATTGCCTCAAGAACTGCACTTGTGCAATCGGCAAACTTGAACTTCGTTTTCGCTCACTAGAAATCCGATCGGTTTTCATCGCATCAGATGTTCACAATGCCTTTGTTGTTTGTTCGGTCAGTTTATCGGGATAACAATCCAATTGAGTTCATCTTAGTTGCATTGTGGAACAAAAAGAATCGACTAGGTTGGCAAGTTCTAACAAACAAATAAACTGGATTTCATCGCCCTGAATTTCATACGTTTTTCGAAGAATGTGATGAATTACTCAATTTGACACACCTGTGAAAACAACTCCCATGTCAATCACTTTTTCATCGAAGCAACCCACTTTGCTTGCTTCATATGGGTCAATCATTTGAAATGTGTTAGCCTGCTGGTTCGCATAGTGTGACTGTTTTCGCCCTATATTTAACTGCGTTCGTCAAAGAACGCTGCAGGTTTCACATGTCATTTATCTGGCAGATTAGATCACACTGAAATGTGACATCTTTGTACGCACTTGAGGAGAGTCACGCTACTACATGTGCACACATTGGCATGCTTGAGTGTGACACTCAAAGTATACCCAAAGATCTCAACCGTATTTTGACATTAATTATGTTTTTCCAACTGGTTGGAATCAATCACTTTTAAAAAATCTTTTTGATCGATTATTCACATTTCCAAATTTGTTTATCACCCCCTCCATCCTTTCCCCGTTTCCGTGTCTCTCTCGTAGACCCATTTCCATTGTGCGCATACTGGAGGATCAGGATGAATACAGTGCCCGAACTCATCCAACCCACGTGATCACGAACAACCAATCAGGAAATAGTAATTATGGGTACACTAATCCGAACACACTCGGCTATCGTACACCGGTTATGACTCACAGTCAGGAAGATTTGTCCGATATCTCGGGCGATCAGGTGAAACAGACGATTCGAATCATGCCATGGCAACCGACCGAACCGATCACATATGAGCCCAATCATTCCGATCTTTCCGATGAAAATCGTCCGGGCACAGTTTCTACCACTGTTCGGTGAGTGAGAACGTTTTCACTGTGTTCCCGACTCATGTAGGAATGAAGAAAAGTGTTCCGTTCAGCACATCCGTAAGAGCGGGAACAAATTCTCTGAATGAAACTGACCATTGCCAATCGTATCTACTTTGAAACAGCAAACATCCATTTAAATCGCTATGATTCTTTTGTAGGGGTAACCTCGAGTCGATCCCGAATGGGGTGTGAATCACATGATTACCCCTAAGTGTCAGTCTTCGTGAGAACCCAGCGACGCGTCACACACAAAAAATCAATCATTACTTCGCTTTTCGTAACTCTCTGTAAAAAGAAACTGTTAATGAACCGTAGTTCGTTTGTAGAAATACCAAAAAAGAGCTACGGAAAAGGGGGAGGGGTGACATTTTGTCTTTTATACATCAAGTGGCATACATTTTAGTTGATAATCGCTTTGAGCAGTTCTGATTTGAATGTTTTTATTGGGGGTGGGGGGGGGCAACACTTATTTCTATCTGATTTTGCATTTCCGTCACTGATAAGTCTACCCCCCTCCAAATAGACTTATCCTAGTGTTTATGTGTTCCTATGAAAAACCGGGAAAAATTGATTTTCAATCCGGTAGTCAACCGCGTGCAGGATTACAGCTCCTGATCTGAGGCGGTTTTCATTTGGGATGCTAGAATGAATTCGTGGATCACACACTACGCATTAACCTCAAATGAAATGTATATGTACTCCCTAGTGCTGAGACTCGAATGAAAACATGCTGTAGGAGTGTGTGCGTGTGTGTGATTTCGCGTGGAAACCTTTGCAATACAATTGCCAAGCTCAGAGACCAAATAAACATCAAGCTATACTATCCGAGTTGCACAAACGAGAATCGACACGGTTGTTTTCAAAAGTGTCAGATATATATATCACTCGTGAAACATTTTAAATAGGTTCCATCTGCCTTTCAAAATGTGTGTAACATTTCAACTAGTTGGTTAGATAGTTTTGATATTTTGATGGTTTGTTATCTTTTATTTGGTCTGACCCGTCCTACTTGAAAAGACTTTTTGAAGGTTTCTTATTTGATGTCTTTGACGAGCTTCATCCACAGATAATACGGGTAGAAAGATCCATGGTTCTTTGTAAAACACCGTTATCGTATGCCCAGCTGTGTGCTGGCTCTGACTTCCTCAATGCATAAACAAGTGAACCGACCATCGTATTTGAATCAGTGGCTGCTTGCGATAAATTTCAAAGCTGCTCCTGATCCGTGAGTGCCGAACCGAGGACAAGGTCAAAGGACACGAAATGAACATCGTCGTGCACTTTAGCAGGGATTTCGACAAACTGCTACACAACCGGCTTCCGCAAAAGCTCTCTAACCTAGGTGTAGGTATGGCCCCGCTGAATTGGCTACGAGGCTTCCTTATTGACCGGAAATTCTGCATCCGTGTTGGCAGATCGCTATCTACGTGCTATTCCGCCTCCACTGGGGTCCCCCAAGGCTCTTTTCTTGGCCAACTCCTCTTTGTGATCTATGTGAACGACCTGCCCCGTCAGCTGCGCAGCACATACCTCGTTTATGCGGATGACATCAAAATGTGGCTTACAGTCAACGGTGCGGAGTATCGGAGTACACTTCAAGCGGATCTGAACCGGTGATAGTCTCTGACAATGAATCACCAACACGAACTTACATGGTCCTTTGTCGGAGAAACAACTTGATCCAGTCCAGAACCAAACCTCTTACTCCGTAGTTATAGAGTTTTCGCAGTATAATTTGGTGGTTTACTCGATCAAATGCCTTGGAGAAGTCCAACTGAACTATGTCCAATGGCTGGCCTGCATCAACGGATTTTGTCCACTCACCCCATGCAAGCAGTAGGTTTGTGGTGCACGAACGCTTGTGCCGAAATCCGTGCTGAGTTGAAGACAAAAGCTCATGCTTCTCCAGATATTCCATCAACAGATCTGCCACAATAACTTCCATGACTTTCAACAATATCCGAAGAAGTGTAACAGGGCGGCAGTTGGCGGGATCACTGCGAGAACCCCCCTTGTAAATGGGTGAAATCACCCCTTTCTTCCGTGACTGCAGAATTACTGCCTGTCTGAACATCCTTTAATAAAGAACAGCCAGATGTTCGGAAATGGTATTGGCTAGCTACATCAGAGTCCGGGGGTGCATGTTATCTGCGCCTGGGGATGAATTCTTACACAAAGTTAGTAGTTTTGCTCTAACCTTCTCACTGTCAAAAGCCATGTTATCCAGTGCCGGATACGGTATATAGAATAGTTGGCTTGGAATCTGTAATGCTTCGTGTGTCGTTGCAGTAAACATCTGATCGAGCTGTTTTTTGAGGAACTCTGCTGCTTCTAGAGTAGTGGTTGAAACATGTCCAGACGATCTCAATGCTGGTATTCCGCATTTCACCTTCCTTGTAGA